GTGTGAGATGAATGGATGAAACAGATGCGGGGGGCAGGGGATGATTCCCATGTTCTAGCTGGGTGACTGGGTGGTACCATCTGTCAAAAGCCACAGGAGGAAAAAGTAAGTATGATGAGGAAAAGGAGTGCACCTGGATCTGCTGGGTTGGGGTGTGCTCAGGACATTCAGGTGGAGATGTCTGAGCAAACCATATGAAACGGAAGCCCCTAAATCTGGGCCGCGGGTGGTGACGTGGCAGCTATCAGAACACACACTGGTGGCTGCAGTGTGGAAGCACGTGAGACCAAGCCCAGAGGAGCAGAGAGGGAGCCCAGAACGCAACTCGGAAAGTCACCATCCCAGCGGAAAGAGGAAGGAGAACTCCTGCAGGGGACTTGGGAAGGCCTGGCCAGTGAGGTGGGCAAGCCAGGACAGGGGGAGACACAGAGTCCTGAGAGCGGAACAGCCCAAAAAGGAGTGGTTCACAGCATCCCACATAGCACAGAGTGCGAGCAGGATAAAGCCCGAGAGGCAGTCATTAGATTTGGTCACGTAGGTGTTACTGGCGATCTTTAGAAGGGCTGTCTCTGTGAAGACGCGGGCAGTGCGGGTAGATGTCAGCAATGTCCTGATAAAGGGATGGTATTTGAGAAGAGGGCTCATCAGATACAGACAAGCATCAAAGTTATGTCCTATTCATGAGGGGATTTCAAATGATAAACATTTCATTTTTAATTTAAAAGTTATATATGTATAGTGTATTAAACTAGATAACCAGAGAACTAAATTCAGGATTTCATGGAGACTATAAAGCTTCTCTTAAAAACAAATATATTTTCAGGAAAAAAAATCAATATTTAATATTACATAGATAATACAGGTGGTTACATGGATAAGGCAGAAATTATCATGTTCAAAGAAGTGAAATTTAGGAAATATTGTTGGGACTATTTTTTTTAAGATGCTTAGCTGTGAAGGGAAGATGAAAGACAGAGTTGTGTGGAGTTGGACGAAGTTTTTCAGAATAGGGAAGACTTCTACATCCTGAAAAGCCAGGAGTGAAGAAGGAATTGAAGATCCAGGTAAACAGTGGACGAATTGATGGAATGAGGTTCCAGAGGAGGTGGAAGGGATGGGAGGTAACCACACCAGGGCCACGTTCGGGAGGAACACCACTTCCTCCAAAATGGGAGGGAGGAACGTAAGGATGGGTGCAAGCAGAGACACTTATTGAGCGGAGAGAAGTAGCTGAAGGAATTCCCACCTGAGAATCTCTATTTTCTCAGGCACTTATTGGGAAAACATCTACTGAGAGTGGAGAGGACAGGAAATTTGAAGAGACTGGACAGGAAATTTGGGAAGGCGGTAAAGCTTTAGCACATGATTTCTGAGAGCAATGTGTGGAGGGGCTGGTGAAAGACAGAAAACAAGTGTTGAGAACACAATTAGAATAGAGACCATGGAATTTCAGTGGCCCAAATCTGAATGACTTGAGAGATTTCCTCCAGTCGGCCAAGACTGGGCACAGCCATTGGACACAAAAGTTCCAATAATTGGCCATAAAGGTACAAGCTAACTGGAAAAAAGAGGAGGTTGAAAGGAGTAGAGATCTGGGTCAAAGAAAGGGACAGATAGAGGCTATGATCTCAAATAGAGGCATTTTGGGGAAAGGAAGGAGACGAAGTCCAGGTGGCTGAAGAGAAGGCAATGCAGAAGTCACTGTAGTTAAGAAGCCCAGACCTTGTGGGACGAGTGGTCCTCACCGGAAGGCTCTCACGATGCTGGCTGGAGTTGCAATGAAAGTACTGAGAGAGCCACAGGCCAAAGGCACCAAGGAATGCGGGGACAGTGACCAAGAAGTTAGGTGGTGGTGGTGGTGGTAATGGGAAAAAAAAGTGAAGAGAATAGTAAAGGAGAAAGCACTCTCACATAAGCTAGAGACAAAACAATGGTCTAGAAGAGACTGTGGAGAACCGGGGGCAGATGGGACTGAGCAGAGAGAGCAGCCCCCATTAGAGGGAGTTTCAAGGGACAGATAGGAGAACTCTGTGTTTTGTGAAGAGCTGGGGTGGTTATAAAAAATATAGTTCCAGGTGGCTAAAGCCAGAGTTGGGAGGAAAGGAAACAGAAATAGAGCCAGGATGGAGGGAGAAAAGAGCAGTGAGGACAAGGGGGGTCATATTTACTATGGTGGCGCCAGGGCTGCAGGAACGAGGGAGGAATGGGACTCCCTCTCAGCGCCACTCGGTCACCCCCAAACCACAAGAGAAGCAGAACCACGCCTTCCAGGGAAAAAAGGCTCCTGGGCCTGGTAGGTACTAAAGGAGAGCTATCTGGCCTTGTGTAAAAACTCTTGAGCCAGTTATTTCTGGAAAATTACAAGACTTGTAGGGAAGAGAAGCCCAAAATCCTCAGCTTTTTTGGTTTCCAGGGAATATTCTTCCCAATGTTTACTCCAGATCCACGCCCCCTCTGTGTGGAGGTCTGAAGGTGAAAGCAACCTCAGGAAATCCAGATTGTTTTCTCTAAACGCTCACCATTTCCCCCAAGTGAACAGCAGGTGGCAGCAAAGACCCAGAAAGGAAGGTGAGACCAGCCAAGCGCCTAGAAATGGTGGAGGGAAGGTGAGCTAGGCTTCAGAAATGCCATCAAAGCTCTCACAGATGCCTCACACCTGTCTGTCTTCCCCCTCACACAGGGGCTCCCTGCGGAAGGGCTGGGCCTGCCTGGTTCAGCCTGGATTTCCTAGTACAAATGCTTGGCACACAATAGGTGCTAAACAAATCCAGGCAGACCTCGAAGATATCATGGGTTCGGTTCTAGACTGCTGCCATAAAGTGATGGTCACAATAAAGAAAGTCATATGAATTGTTTTGTTTCCCAGTGCATATCAAAGTTGTGTTTACACCATACTGTAGTCCATTAAGTGTGCAATAGCATTACATCTAACCACACAATGTACATATCTTCATTAGAAAATACTTCACTGCTAAAAAATGCTAACCATCCTCTGACAGTGCAGGGTTGCCACAAACCTTTAATTTGTTTTACAAAAAATGCAATAAAGCAAAGTGCAGTGAAATGAGGTATGCCTGTCCGTGCTGAGTGACTGGCTGAAGCAGGACAGGTGGGAGGAGTCTTTTAGGACTGTGCGGTATGCGGAAAACTGCACTGACTTGCGAGAGAATCAAGGCCAGGCTTTGAATCCAAGCTGTGGGCAAGGTACCTAACATTTCAGAGCCTTGATATTTTTCTTTCCTCCATTTAGAAGGAAGATTTTTCACCAGGTTAGCTGTGATGGGAAAGTACATAAAACATGCCGAGTACACAGAAAATAGTCAAGAAAAAGTAGGCATTGGCAGTCCCTGTGGTTGTTATTACTGTTACTATTATTAACAGCCTCTTTTCTGGGCCAGGCACCAGAGGAGAGGGGAGAGAGTCACTAACAGTAAAAACTAAATTGGAAGTAAGACTTGGAATCCCTACTTCGTTAGCTTAGCTCCTCCCAACAGTGCAGCAACAGATTCAGGAGAAGGCTGCCTGGAATTGGCCACTTCGAGACAGTGCAGCTTCCCAGACGGTGGGGTTTTTTGAGGAGGTGGGGGAGATGAAGGTTACTTGGCATTTTTCAAGTCAGACCAGTCTTGCTCATCTACCTGACAGATTTTTATGGCGGCTCAGAGCACAAATAGGTTTAACTAACAGCCGTACACACTTGGGCAGGAACCTGCATCGCACACCTCAGAAACCGGAACCACGGGTGCTGGGGGTCTGGAGTCTTGGGACAGCCGCCTGCCTGGCTCCCTTCAGAATGAGTGTATCTCCCAGACGTAAGTTATTAGGAAGCTATTTCCTGTGCCACAGGGGACAGACCTGAGAGATGTCACAAGTCTCCTGGATTTTGGAACATCTGACTTCTCTTAAAGCTCAGTGGGGAAGAGTGTGTTTAGAGCAAATTAGAAGGAAGTGCTCTTTGATGCTGTGAGACCAAGTGGCTGCACGGGGTAAAAACAGCCTCAAAGAATATTTAGACATGTCCCAAGAAAGAGTTCTAATTGATAGAAACCAGGGACAAGGGCCAATCTCTTGACTGTAGGTAGAGAGACAGGAGAGCAACATGTTCCTGGGTTGACTGGTCCTTGAGGCTACCTCATGCCAGAAGTTCTGAACATTTGCTAGAATTCCTGAGTTTGGGGTCCATGTGGCTTTATGTCATTTTTAATGTGAAGAAATGAAACCCTTGCTGCCTGGGCTGAGGTGGGTCTTCCAGAAAAATCCCAGCGGCCCAGATAGAGAGGCTGGTGGCTAAGACCAGAAAAGTATGTCTTCCAGGTCTAGGGCCTTTCGGGAAGGTAAGAACACTGAGAAGCAGGGCTCTCACAACTAGCCTAGAAGGGACAGGAATGCACCTTCCCTTCTGTCTACTACACAACAGAGGGAGGGAATCGTTTAAGGGCTGGTGGTCGCTCTCTCGTGACCAAATAAAGATTTTCGATGGTCTGTTTTACATGAAGGTCGCTGCTCTTTCACCTGCCTCTTTCCTCAATCCCATAATCCCACAGCTCCTGGACTCTCACCCCTTTCAATATCTTCTTTGGTTCTGAAAGGATGGATCTAATGAGCAAAAGCACAAGGCCCTTCTCTTCTACCCTGTAATGCACAGAGCCCAGGGCAAGGCACAGGCAGGAGGGAGTGACAGAGTGTGGGGGGCTCTGTTCAAGCCTCATGCCACCACCCACCACGGACGAAGAGCCCAGGGCCTAGGCACTAGGCCAGGCCATCAGCAGCCCCGAGCACCCCCGCACAAAGGATGGTCCTGAAAAGCCGCCAGGCTCTTTGTGGGCTCGTCCATACCCATTTTCCCACTGCCTGGTGTCTGGCATAAAACCCGCTGCAGAGATGCAGCTAGGCAGCAGCTCAAGATCCTGATAGGCACCCCAGAGGGTGTGACTCCCCCAGACAGCAGGGAGCGGCGAGAGGCGTGCAGGTGGCAAAGGGGTGTGGTTTGCTGACCTTACCTCCTTTCCACAACAGGTAGATGGGCACCACGTAGAGCATAACATGCTGAATGTAGTAAATCTCCAATTCAAAGGGGAGCTGTAAGGACAGGGGAGAGAGAGGGGGGTTTTAGAGCAGGAAGCACTCATTCCTAAGTGGATCACCCTTGCTCTCAGGGACTCCCACCTTAGCAACCCCCTGCACTTCGACCAACTCCCTTCACAATTAGAGCAAAAAGAATGGAATACTTAGGACCTAGGCCAACATCTTCCCAAGAGTATTTTGCAGAGATGGTACTTGAAAAACGTTCCACTCAGAAAGTTTGGTTAAAAATTTAAGAAATGTTACATACAGTCTATCCCCTTGGAGATTCACCATGTATATTAGTGGTAAATTAAGGACCTTTGCGGTCTCAACAAGTAAGAAGCCTGCTTAACATTATTTATCTAGTGTTTCTCAAACTTATTTAGCCAGTGCCTTGGTAAAAAAAAAAATAGCACTTAGTATCCTACAGAATATACTTGAAGAAACACCACCTTATGTCACTTCCTGCTCCGGTGAGTAGGTGACGGATGACTTAAAAGCTTATTTTTCATCTGACATGAAGAACATATGCGGTAGGATTTATTAGTCCCAATTTCCAGATTTAAAAAAAAATAGATTGCTAGGTTAGGTCTAGATCCAAGAATAAAGAGTTTCTCCACGGGATACTTGGGTTCAGTCCAGAGTTAGCCCGACTTTTGGGTGAAGACCAAGCGGCTGGGCCAATCATGGCAGGGCTTGCCAAAAAGAGCGCCCCCCTCCCCTTCCACCCAACACGCCCACTCATTCACTCCTGTTTCCCCTCTCTCTTAAAAGTGGAAGGTCGAAATTACCAGAGCAGGGCAGTTTCCACCTGGCCTGGGGACCTTGCTATAGCAGTGTGGCCTGGCAGCGGGTGGAGAGTGGAAACAGCTGGACGGCTAACTCAGTTCCGGGAAAAGAACTTCAGCTGCTGGCGAGAGGCCTGGCCTCTGGGGCTTACATAGCCCTACACACACACACACACAGACACACACACACCCCCAGGGGAAGCCCAGAGAGACAAGGACACCCAGGACAAGGGTCAGCTGCCCCCCTGTGCCCTACCGGGTGAGCACAGAACCAAGCCTGTGAGCTCCTGAGAGAACACAGTTCTGGGCTTCCTGGCCCAGGAGCCCAAGCCTGCCTTGCGCCAAGAGCTGAAACCAAAAGATGGCAGAGCTCCCAGAATGGGAGCTGGGATGACTGTGGACCTTGGACAGAGTCACTGGCTCTGGCTCTTGAAAATAAAAACTCACGCAGAAGGGAAATTTCCCACGGACCCAGATGACGCTCGACTATGCCCACAGAAGGAAATGTAAAATCCCAGGAAAATAAATGAGGTTCCAAGCGTCTCTGTAGACCTTGCGGAATAGCTAAAAGAGGTCACGAGGTTTCACAACGGGCATCGGCAGCAAGTCACTTTGAGCTCCCAGCCAGGTCCCAAAGCAGCACCTGTGCCGAACCCTCAGACTCCAGCAGCTATTGACCTACGTGGGCTCACAGGGCCCACTTGATCCTCCCTCCCTCCCAGCCCTCCTAGAAAGCAAACTCCCCACCTGCATGTCCAGGGAGGCAGTTCAGCATTGTGGCCACAAGCAAAGACTTGGGAGTCTGTGAAAATCCCTGTTCTAGATTTGATTCTGCCACTTAATAGCCCCGTGGCCTCAGGCAAGTCACTTAACCTCTCCACCCTAGTTGCGGCACCAGTAACATTCAAATAATTTTGTTATAAGATAGGGATCATTTTTTTAAAGTTTCACCATCACAAACATTTGTAGAGTACTCACTGTGTGCCAGGAACCAAGCACTTTAGTTAAAGTTCACCTGTAACTGTTCCAATTAACTCCATTTTAGAGATGAGAAACTGAGGCACAGAGAAGTTAGATTAACTTACCCAAGGGCACACGACTCATTCGATGACAGAGCCAAGATTCTAACTCAGGCAGTCCAGCTCCAGTTTACAGCCTTTGTCCGTACACTCCGCTACCCTACGCCCGGCTCCTTCCCTCCCGCAAAAGCCTGAGGCCTGGGAGATGCGCAGTGGGGACCCATCTCCACTGCGCATCTCCACTGCGCAAAGGAGATGCGCAATGGAGATGCGCAGTGGCGAGGAGCCCTAACAACGGGCGTGGTAATGGGCAGCAGGATTAGCAATCCTCTTCCACCTGGGGACCAACAGCCCCCCACTCCCCGTTCCCATGTCCCCACCCTAACAGCCGGCTCCCTCTGCCCCACCGTGGCCCCAGGCCCTGCACCACACAGTCACCAAGCCTGGCCCGCAGTACAGGCCTCCCAGCTCCCGCTGGGGTTCTAGACACCTCCTGCACAGATCTCAGCAGGGGTGGCCAGGAGACTGCCTCCGAGACAGTGCCCTTCCTCTGAGGGCTTACTCGCCGCCTATTCCAAGAGTTCCCTACCTCGGTAGGTCACAGAGAGTGTTCCACTAGGTGTGGGCAGCGCTGACAGCCAGGGCCAGGGAGGAGAAAGTGTGGGAAAACAGGGAGAGGAAGTGAAGGGGTTGCAAGAGAAGGGGGCAACAACAACAACAAAAAATCCCCACAAGTGGCAGGAAGAAGGGAGCTGAATGCGAGCAAGAACCTACCAGTGGTCATTTAGTAACAAAGAATATTTAGTAAGTACTTCGGCACCAGGCTCTGCATTACTTTCACGTTAAATACTTTCAAGTGTGTTAGCTCACTTAATGATTGCAAGGTTCCTGTGAAGCAGGGACTATGATCATCCCCATTTAACAGATATGGAAAGCAAGGCACAGATATGTGGAATAACATCCAAAGAAGAAACGGCAGGGAAGAGATATGGGGGTAAAGGACATCCAGCAACAGAGCAGAAAAAAAAAAAGCAGCTTTCTTTACCGAGCCCTGAATCTGGGCTGAGTCCCAAGAACTTTCTCTCCCCATCCTCTTTTCCCCATTTTATAAATGCTATCTGTAAAATGTCGTTCTTCCCCACTCCCCAAAGAAGTTCTCCTTGGCTAACTCATCTCTCGTACAGAACTCACATCTGGAACTCCACTCTAATGTACATATCCGGGCTCCTTTTCAGCTGGAGGATTCCCGAGGCTTTAGACAAAAAGTCCTACATCACTGCAATTGAAAGCCAAAGCAATAAAAAATGCTTTAAGCGACATAGGTCATAACTTCCTTCTCACGTCCAAGTTAACATCTTTTTTTGGAATCAGAAGAACAGACTGGTAAAGGTCTCTAGGCCTCTGGAGTCAGACGGCCTGAAACATGAGGTGCACGGGGTCCTTCTGGGGCAGGACCCCAGGCCTCCTTCCTCCCAGCCCTCCACCTTGACAGCCGCACCACCACTCTGCCACGGAGACCACCGATCCCAGTGGGCCCCGCATCCCTGGTGACTCCAGTCACCCTAAGAAACCCAAGAGTCCCAGGTCACCACCCAGTACAGAAACTCTAATCATCCCAATGCTGAAAACCCTTCCAGCTCCATCCTCTGGAACCCACTGACCATCATTAGCGAAATCCCCTCTATCTTCAAACTCTTCTCTGAAACATCTCTTCACCTTCTTACTTTGACAAAACCCCGGTCCCCTCTCTGAGGACACTGCTATCCCTACAGCCCTCTCAAGTTGTGGGTGGTTTGCCTCCCCTGTCGTCTTGTTCCACTGGGCCAAGAGGGGACCTGTCTGCTCTTCACTGCTGCTTCGAAACTTCTGTCTCCTCCAGAACATTCTCTTGGCCCCCTTCCTAGCCACTCCCCTGATCTGAAAGTCATGTCACCCAGTCTACCACCCACTACTCTTTTTGTCCCACTTAACTACAGATCCTCCCTGTCACTGCTTTCCAACATACCTTTGTCAAAATTCCTATGTCTTCAGCATTTAGCAATACTCTAGTCTCTCAATGTCTTGACCTCCTTTTCCCTCAAGATCTCACCTCCATCTCACTTCAGCCCTTTATTCCCAGGATCACACCTGTCACTACCAGCACCTACAACCCTTCCATAAACCATCACGCACCCCACTCTCCAACCACCACCAGCCAACCACCACCTACCAACTCACCAGCGCCTCCTTATACCCCAACCCGAGCAATCCTCCAACTTCACTGGGACCTCCACCTCTTGATCACTGACCTCACCAACCTGACATCCTCATTTCTGTGCCTGCCCATTACTCCCTTCCATACAGTCTCAACTCTCCTTACACTCTCCCTTTTTCCTCCTTGTCTCCAAAAACCATATTCCTTGTTAAATCGAACTCTCTCCCTTCATGCCCCTCTACCACGCAATTAAGTACAGCTGGAGAAAAAGATAAGCCTGTGCTGTTAATCCTTTAAATTCATGACTGCAAATTGTGAGTGGGCCCTTAATGCAACTCAGTCCATTCACTCTTCTCGCTCCGACTATTCCTCTATTTCACAACTTCTCCTGGGTTTCTCAAACTTTCCCCCATCCGCCCTCTCAGCTGGTGCTATGACTTTCTATTTCTTTCGGGGAAAGGGAGCAATCAGAAGAAAACCGATGCCCCTCTTCCCCACCTGCTGAGAGTCACTGGAGAGGCTAAAACAGGTCTTCATGATCAGGTCAACTTCGATGCGTTCAGTGTCATAATACGCATATTTCACTGTCAGCGGTGTGAACATCACCCCCATGGTCCTCCCAGGAACACCCACTGACCATCATACGGCCCTATGTCAGCACTTGTGTGTGGCCAGTGTGAGAACCTGGCAGAGATGCTCAAAAAACTATGGGAATGTGGGTCTGGATCTCAAGGAGGCTGGAGAAGATGACAAGAGTTGAAAGGCAAATGATATATATGTATATAAAATGCAAACGGGGAAGAGTAAAAGGACGAGATTCTAAGAGGCAAGTACTGACATATTCCTTAAGCACCCCAACAGAACACCTGAGCCACCCCGCCTGCAGACCCCTGGTCCGTGGTGCTCTTTCAAGAGGGAATGGGTGGCAAGAAATGGAAGTCGTAACTCAAGGGAATATTGATAGAAAGAATGGGAGAGCCTTGAACATATTTATAGACGGAGGGAAGGAGCCAG